ACTACTATGAAGATGCTACGTCGATAGGGTTGTTTATGAGTCCTGTTTCCTATCTGTCTTGTTAGTACTCTTTCCCCAATACTACGGGTGAAGGACTGAAACTATAGTTGCATAAGTTGAACGAGGAGGTAATTAAATTTATTAAAAAAACAATAAGTCATTGGTTAAGCAGCATAAAGCTCAATGTGGGATGGGTATGACATTAGAATAAATCGATAGATAAATTAATGAAATAACAGTGAAATCGACCTATTTAAGCAATTCTATTTTTTCATATGTTTGTCTCCTATTCCAATTTGTTGGTTCACCTCCAAAACAGCCTACTTTCACATGTTCTATTTCTTGCCTTCAATTTCTCTCACACACACTCTTGTGGTGCCTTTTGTGTCCTCAAGTACAATCCAAACCTATGGCAAGGTGTTTTAAAATTAAAACTCATGTAAAGTCTTGTGGTAAATTTCTATTGGTTTTGTTTTGGAATTGATTTATTACTATTAAAATGACCCACAATAAGTTGGAAACAAAAGCTACTGTTTTAGTTATGGTGGGAAATTGACTAAAATTTGTTGCTAGTGGTGGAGAGGAGGTGGGAAATATTGGGAGAGTTAAATCAAGATTTCACTGAGTTTTGTTTCAGTTCCACAATTCAGTTCTCATGTTTGCTTGTTTAGATTATTAAACATAACTTCCACTCACAATGTTACAGGTCTTATCGAGCGTATTTTTAATTATGGTTTTAATCTTATCCCTTCAATTGTATTATTTTCTTGTCCGAAATTTTCGTAAAACAGTATGATCTTGCAATGGTATTAAATGACAATAATTTACAAGATTGCAAAAATTTCTATGCCATAGCAAACGCCACTGGAGCTGATCTCTTCCTCTATTCAAATTGAATAACTGACTTGAATAACTGACTTCTGATTTTGAACTAGTGAGCGGTTCCTGCTGTCCAATGTTCTATTGTTATTTTTTGTACTAAATCGACATTAGATCTGTAAAATATGTTCCAACCAATCCTCTGATCCTAGAACAAAGAAAATTGCGTACTTTTCTTCTCACAGTGTGTCATTCTTCAATATTTATAACGTTGAAAGTCATGCACATTGATCTCCCGTTTATTACCATGCCATCATGATAAAGCAACTTATCTTACTAATTAATATCCCAAAGTTACTTTGAAGTGACAATTGTCAAAGAGCAGTGTTGACTAAACTCATTATTTGCAATTGCTTGGGTTAAATGTGAGGTCATGAACAGCCTTTATGATTAAAGGCTTAATTTTGCTTATGCTCAATTTCAAATATTTCGTAATAGATGAAACAGGCAATGAATTAATGAGAATATAATGCTTCTTTAGTAAATATGCTAGCTGACAGAGTGAGTTCACTTTATTTTAGTGACGACATAATGAGTTCAGGAATGTCGCTGGACTTAGAACGTGTTTGCAACCCCTGGCTTCATCGATTTTTCACTCTTCTATGTGAACGAGGTCTAGGCAAGGACCTTTCTGCTCAAACCGATTCAACCACTAATGACTGGCCTTCCCTAAATCCTGATGATCTTCCTGGATTGAGTGGTGTCCTCAGTAGAGTCGAAGATGAACTATCTAGTGGCATGGAATCTACACTGAATCAGGTCCTCAAGGAGTTAAATCGAGTTATGCCCGAAATTGTTCCAACTGCTGATACAGCTGCTGTTCTTCAAGTGAAAAGGGCCAATGGGGAGGAAGATGAAAAGGCGGCCAATAAGAAACGACGACGGATCATGGCGGCTGATCTGTTTGGGATTAAGGTGGAGGATGATGGGTAATTGCAGTTTAAATCATTTATCGTCTACTTACTGAAAATCACAGCATAATTTACTTGAAAATTTGTTTCATTGCAGATTTGACGGTACTAAGTCTCAGATGGAGGCCACGAAAGTACCAAGTAATTTGCAAATAGGGTCAATCGATCCTGTCAGGGATTTCAAGCAGATGCTAAAAGCTGGTCTCGTTAATAAAGGTATTTAGAGACTGGTTGAACTACGATATATTAGCATCTTATGCTTGAGTCTCACCATACGCAACGTAAGCCACCTTATGTCGTTACACTAGAACTATAGTTGCTCATGCAGAGGAGGGAGAATTCGGAAGACCTATTGTTCAGACAATCGCACCTTCCGCTATTTCTTCAAGGAAGTACAGTGGTTTTTTACGGCGGTTTGACATAGGATAGTGGCAGGGTAACGAGTTAGCCAATGGTTGAAACAGTGGTGCGAACGTGAAAAATCAGTCATAGATAAACCAATAAGTGAAATATGTGAACTTCGTTTAGGTGCATCGGAAATGCTCGATATGGCTTTCCAAAAAATGATCATCAATGAACTATTTCGACAATATTAACAGCAGTAAATAATACCAACAAGGAATTATGAATCCTAATTTGCCGAAGTCATTGCTTTTTTCCTAGGTAATTAAATTGCAAGGATGAAAGTAATAGGGTTAAGGGCAGCTAATTTAGATCTCCTCTAGGTTAGGTTTGTGGAGCGTTGAAAACTCCTTATTCATTTAAGTATAGTTGATTGCAGATGAAGCCTATCCTGAGGAACAAGTGTATCATGTTTTTCAACTGAAGTTGTGTCTATCCATATTCCTGATTCTTTAATTTAGCTTGCTCTGAAATGGAGGCCCACATTCTACGCCTCATTAATGATCCCCTGACGCCGGAACTTCTCCGCCCACGAGCTATCCAGTGTCTTCGTAGTTACCGTGACACCGGTTTGAACTCCGGAACTTCCATCGAAGTTCCTAACTCTTATAATGCTTTCTTAATCAAATGGCGACGGGAACTCGAATCAACTCAAACTTCGAGTAATCAACTAGCCTTCTGGAACGATGTAATCTCCACTGGTATGGTTGCTCCGCCAATGATGCTTTAAGTAGTTAAGTTGAGATATAGCCTAATGAGTGGTTGATTCTTTAGACACCTCCCTCGTACCAATCAGTTGTGATGATTTGCTAGGCATGACAATGACTCCCGGAGAAGCGAAATCTTTGATCCATGATCCATTGAAAAGGCTAGAAGACCCTGGAGACAAACCCGATATCGCTCAACCAATGGCTTGCACCGATGATTTGGTAAGGGAGCCTCTCAACAACCGGGTGTGGGCCCTGGCATGCTTTTGAGAACCTCCTAGTCTATCACTTCCTAAGTGATTTAGCACATCTACTCATGTGCCAAATTCTTTCGGTTGCGATTTTTCGTCATCATCATTTTTATCTACTCTCTTTTCTTCATATGTGCCGGGCTGAATCATCCCATGTTGAGTAGCACTTTATCGATAGATCGCGAAATAAGCAAACAATATTCACACTAGAGCCTTTGACTCACAATAAACCTTGGTAATGTGTGCTCATAACATCTTAATATGTAAATATGCCAGTCTTTGGTTTAAAGCAGGGAGTTGGATAATTTAATTATACAATTTTTTTGTTATCGGTTTCTTTTAAATTAAAGTCAGTAAAAACACAATTTCAAGCTTATTTGTCCATAGTTGGATGTTGAAAATGAAATAAACGGCATCAGTCGAATCTATTGAGTCGTCCCCGAAACAATAGACTTAACAGTTTGTTTATTATTAATAATAGTAATGAAATATTAAAGAATGTAGAGAATGGAAATAAGGCCTCTCAAGAATGATAGGGTAAATTGACGCTTCGCATTTTGGTTCAAATTGCACAAAAATCAGTTGAGAAACAGTCTATGTTGCAGAAATCTAATTCCTTGAATTGCAGCCAATAATGTGATTGCCATTTAAAGTCCTTATTAACTGCTTTTTTTGGCATATTGTTTCGATTAATTTTTTCCCATTTCAGTAATTATGAATGAAAAAATGATCTTATATGATATTAAAAAACTTTAGGGTTATTATACATAGCAGGGGTGATGCCAGTAAAAAGAAGGCTTTGCTCACTCAAGGTGAATAAAAAGCCTATTTGTGCCTTGGAGAGAATGATATTGCCGATTATTTATAGGATTTTTGTGATTCCTTATAAGTGACCTTGCGAAGATTGTCGTGCTGCTTAGTGAACCTTAGTCAGACTTGTGGGGGGTGTGCGATAGACTTACCTCCACGTGGGGGACCCTGGGCAACGTATATTCATACGGCAAAAAAGTCTATTGACTGACAGTTGACTTCTCACTTCAAACTACCATCACCTCACTCTATGCCATATTCGACTATTTCCACAGTACTCACCTCACCTTTGTTCTACCTTTGTGTTTGTCTCTTACATCCTTGAAACACTCTTCTATCCCCTCCCCCTCCTATCGACTTTTTCAATTTGATGTTCTTTCCCNATTATTCAGCAGTTGACCTCTGACTTCAAACTACCATCACCTCACTCTATGCCATATTCGACTATTTCCACAGTACTCACCTCACCTTTGTTCTACCTTTGTGTTTGTCTCTTACATCCTTGAAACACTCTTCTATCCCCTCCCCCTCCTATCGACTTTTTCAATTTGATGTTCTTTCCCCTCTGTGAAGCCTGAAGTCAACTAAATGGTTAATGATAACCATCAAGACGCCTGCCATTTGATATAAATAAATAAGTCAGACTTGTGGAAGTGAGAACAAGTACGAGTAGGAGGTTGAGTCAGGTCCGAGTCTTCAAGATCTCTAGCTACATCTTGACCCATCGAGTTCACATAGCGTCTCTTGTTTATGTTGCAACTAATAATAATACGTAAAATGTAGACACATTCGAACATCAAAAGCATACTCAACATTTTATTCTTGGATTCATGGTGTACACTTTTGTTCATTTCATTAAAATAGTCCACTTTGTCTTAGCCAAGCGTCAGGAATCGTTTCCTCTATCCTAAATGAGTTTGTAGTAGTCTTTGTCAAGGCTAACTTTAATCTTGATTTTTGATTATTCACTTTGAGTACATTTCCCTCTTATAATAGATTGATATTACCAGGAGGATATTAGTTAACCTGGCAGAGTACAGTGCTTTTCTTCTTCCTTTTCTCATATCGCTATTTTGACGCAAATTATCACATTAACATTCTTTCTCAAATTGGTAATAGCAGTTATTTTTTCGATAGAACTATGAAATACCCGCTTAGTGATCCACTCCTTATAGGAGCAAAAAGGCCCAAGGAACCCATTTACATTTTGCTAATTTGTAAAAATAATTTCCAAACCTTCTTTCGTTAATAATTACTATCTATCTATCTTTGCCTTAGTAAATCCAGCACTGTGTCTACCCACAACTTTTGGCATATATTAACCATAGCAATAAATAATAACCTGTTTAACAACCTACGTCTTGAGATTGAGGTTTGATTAGCATTGAGGAGCTGAATGATGTCATCATATGTATTTTAATTTTACTCTGAGATATGTTGTTCGTGACAATAAGGTACTCACGATAACAGATACGTTACTTTCTAAAGTCCTAATTCTTTATGACGCTATAAACTTCAGCGTTAGGTAAAAATGTTGTTTTCCATCTCTAGATTACATTACTAGTTAACCTGGTGATACGATCGATAAGTGAGTTTGATTCTTGTTGGGTCTTAGAAGGAATATTTTGCAATGAAATTGAAGTGGTTGAGAAATGGGCATTTGAGGATCCAAAAACACAATTGCAAAATAGGCTTTCAATACTTGCACTTAATTAACGTACTTACATTTAAAAGTACAAGGTCTTACGTTGCACCTAGGATTGTCTTTAAATGGTTATGAATTTAAGAAATGGAAATTTGATGAAATTCGCTGATTATTTCACCTTTTTAAAGTAATTGCAAACAAAAATATTATAGTAATTCTTTACGGTATAATAATTGTTGCTTGAAGAATGCTTATGAATGGGTTTAGTTAACACTGAGGAACAAATGTGAAGTTAGATGACAAATTGTTAGTTCTTTCAAAAGATTATAAACAAACTCCTTTATACATTTTCCTCTTGCAAATCAGTTTTCAACGCACCCACAATGACACATTCCTAACGAGATAATAAAATTACTTATAAAATATAATTACTGCAAGTACTTGTTTCAACTTTCGATTGATACTCTATGTCTAGTGGAATTCATTTTTTTTGTTTACTTCTAGATTGATGAATTGGAATGATGATATGGTGTCTCTGCTCTGTAATCCCGGTGGAATATCTTGGACTTCAATTAGTTTAACTTGCATTTTTTGTTCTTTACGCTTTCATTTCCTAATTTTTATCCATATATTAACTAAAGATAATTTCTTGCCACTTATAAAAAAATGTTCAGTATTGTACTGTTTTTTTAACAACTGAGTTGGGAATTGAACTACTGTCAATAAGTTCAATATTGATCGGTTCGTAACTTTATTCAGACTTTGTATTTTCACCTTAACTTCTCTAAATCATGCTTAATCTAATTTCACATATGCCTAATGGTTTTAGTTTCATACTCAATGCTAATTGAACCATTTCAATATCTATGAATGCAGTTAAGCGCCAACAGTAAGATGGAATGTTTCTTTGGAGGAGAATTAAGACAACTCCGAGTTTTTGTATGGAAGGCGATAAATAACCCGAGTTAATATTTAAATCTCCGCTAGAGAAAATAGGTACGCCTAATCATGTGCAACCCCAGATCTTGACTAAATTTTTGTTCGACTAAAAAGATTGGAAGTGATTGTTGAGCCCTACGAACAAATCAACTTCATTGAATATCAGTCAAAAAGGAGATTTGTGTCTAAATGAGGAAACCACCTTTACGTCATTGAAATGAGAAGACGTTGCCAAATTGTTTTTTATTGTTAATTCGATAAATCTCTTTGCTCCTTCGTGATTTGTGGAAAAACGGAAGGTCGGAAAATTAGAAGATGCCATGTCATCCAAATGTTGCACATCTCAGAAATGAAATGAAAGACCTAATTAAAGTAGGAGAAAGATGAGGGTCTTAAACTCAGATAAAGTAGGATTCTGCCGATTTTCTTCTCACCGCATTATAACAGCCCGAAACCATTTGCATAAGATGAGCAAACTATCCAAACTGACCACGATAGGGAAAGAAAATCAAATAAAAACAGGTGTCATTAAATTTACAAAGACATTCAACATAATCTTACTCAAGTGTGATATTACATATTTAATTAAAGCTCAAGTGTGTTGAGGTTCAGGCTACAACAGGCCTTATAAACCTGAGATAATCGATAATTTCCAGGATGGGAGATCATTTTTAAAAGTTAATTATTTTGATCTAGGTAAAAAATATTTTAAAAAGAAAATCATTTAATTTTTTACGATTTTCATCAGTACATAGCTTTGAGATTCGCGCACTTGCTTGCTACTTTATTCACACAAACATCAGCCGATAGAACCAAGGTCGAATCTGATTGGTCGTTCCAGAGATGAGGTCTCATGTAAGATCATTGAGTCCTCGAGGTAGGCATCATTGTGCTTCACTTCTCATTCGCGTTAAAGTGGTTATTACCCGCCCCTGACAATGAGTAAGATTTGAGTTTTCAAATTATATTTTTTTGTTAAGTGATCCTATTAATAAACAATTGTCAAATTTTAACTGGAATATTTGTTTATTTTTCAATGTATTTGATTTTTCACAGAAACAGTTATTAATTAATTAATTGTACTAAATTGAGTAATTATTGAAATAACCGATTTTCGTTTATTTACGTAATAATTTATAGATTGGAATAAGTTTGTCATACATTTTATCCCCCCTTATAAGAATTCATATTTGATTTTGACTTCATTCAAAGCAGCTAATGTTAATTTTAATTGGTCTATGACGTCTACAATTATTTTATTACAAAATTCATATTGCAGACAAGAGTACACGCTCCATATGTCAATTTTATGACATTAATGGCAAACCCTGCCGTCCTACTCTGAAGCCTTATCAAAATTTCGATGTTTATGAAGATATAGACGTTCTTTGCAAATCTATGCGATGTTGGGGTAAGTTGAAGATAATTTTCTCGATGACTTTGTTGGCAATGCAATTTGAATCTGAGTTCCATTCAACTCTAGGCACTGATGAAGAGGCTATCATTAATATTTTGGGGAAAAGAACCAGCGAACAACGTATGCAAATCGTTTCTGCATATAAAGCAAAGTATGGACGAGTAAGTGCACGCTATTCGCTTTAATTTCGCTGTCAATCATTGTTTTACCTTTATTCTATTCAAATGCAGGAACTCGTTAAGGACCTCAAGGGAGATTTGAGCGGTCATTTCAGAGATTGCTGCATTCTCCTCACAAAATGTCCCTATTACTTAATGGCTGAGTCCCTCTTCTATGCATTCAAAGGTGTTGGAACAAATGAAAATGCCATAATTGAAATCCTTGTTGGTTGTTGTAATGAAGAGCTCAAGAAATTGAAACAGGCGTATACCTATGGTGCGTAAATTTCCTATATTCCTCAAGTAAATAAAAAACTAATCGGCCAAATAAATGATCGCACTTTTACTCTTTTTTAGTTCTCCGCGATAAAGGAATTAAAGGTAAATTAGCAGATTTGCATTTTTACTCGAGAATTCTTTGCCAAGATAGTTAAGATATTTCAGAAAATCAAAATAGGAATTGTGCCACTGCGGTCGTCAACACAAAATGGATAATCAAATTAGCTGTGCTCGATAACTACATTCAAGTAATTATTCCAGGTGTCACCTTTGAAGTATGGGTGATGATTGATCAGCTTCAATCCGTTTTTTCATCCGCATTCATTTTAAACAAGCATCCAAGTGAACTTTGAAAAAAAAGTACTTTTTGGACTTTAACTAGGTGCGATAGTCAGTTGATTAATTAATTCTGGGTTATAGCTGCCACAACAACTTAATTTTTCATTTCATAAACAATTTTAATTAGTTAATTATTTACTTTACAAAGGATTTTGACAAAATAATTGATTGAATCACTAATAAGCTAAATTTTGATTCGATAAAGAATTGTTTTATGATCGTGAGTAATTGCTCATTACGATAGTTTAAAGTAAGTCCTGTTTTTGAATAATTCATTTGTGTCGATATTATTTTTGAAGGGAATTGAAGGACTTATCAATTTTATTTATCTGTACTGTATAACCATTATAATGAATCAATATCAATCGACTTTTTCTTAAATTAAAAAAACCATCTGCAAATTACTATCACATTTAAGTACCAATTCAATTAATATTGGAATTATTCAGGATTTTATCAGAAGTAATTCTTTTGTTTAATAATGGCATGGGAATTAATGACATTTAATAAATAATTCATTCAATTAAACTTAGTAGTTGAAGGTCGATCTATTCTTAGGCAATTTGTAAAGTCATTCAGGGTTTTTAATGGCAAATTCTGACGATCCTCCCATCGAATAGTAGTAAAACCTCCTTGAATTCGATCAATTTCTCACTGTGTCGATATCTGTCCACTAAATTATCGTTTCTGACGGTTGGAGAAAAGAATAACTTTATAATGAATTCATTTCCAAATACGTAATTGAATTGTTCAATTCTCTAGATCCAAAACGTACACTTGAATCTGACCTACGCTGCGAGACAAAAGGCCACTTCGCCAAAATGGTACTGCAATTACTGAACTCCAACCAAAACGATCCAAGCGAAGACAAAATTCGTGGTGGCTATGAAGAAATAGTTAACGAGAATGAAGTCTCCGAAGCAGTTGAAAAGATTAGAAAAGCTTTCGACAAGTGAGCTGAAGTTTCTACTCCACTTCTTAATGCCACACACTGAGTTAAACTTCCAATTTTTTACCATTATAGGAAAAAGAATGTTCCTGAACTCCTTCTCAGCGTATTCACCAACAAAAATTCCTGGGAAATTGCTGCTATAGAAAATGAGTACAAGCGAGTACGTCTTTTGCCAATAATGCTTAAATTCACAACATTTGACCTAATTTCTCATTTAAATTATTTAAGGATATGGGCAAGAGCTTGGTTAAGGCGATTCCTGAAGTAGTCGATGGCGAATTTGGAACACTTCTTATTGCAATGGGTAAGCGGATTATTTTTATACTATAGATAAGAAGGCAGCCTCTAATTTTACCCCCTCTTTAAGTTGAGCATGCTGTGAATCGGCCGAGATTCTACTCAGAAGCTCTCTATCACTCTATGGTTGGCGCTGGAACGCGTGACTACCTTCTGATGAGAGTTTTGATTCTTCGTTCTGAGGTAATTTTCTAGAGATTTTAATAACTACTGTCCCCATTAAAATTTTATTAACCCAATGGTCTCTTTTTAATCCCGTTTTCGCGCAGATTGATCTTGCGGACATTAAGGAGACATTCGATAAGGACCACAAGAGTCTCGTTGATTGGATAAAAGGTGATACCTCGGGAGATTACGAGAAATTATTGATCACTCTACTTGGTGTTTCTTGAGGAGCACAGTCAATTGCAGATCTCTTCCATAAATCTCCTAATACACTTACACCTCTATCAGCCTTTTTTCCACTTGCTTACTAGCCAATTTAGGCATCTTGAAAATAAACGAATTCTCCTGACTTTTCTTTAATGGAGTCTGACAAAATCAAATTAAATCATTATATTATTATAAAGCTGCTCATTCTCTCAGTTAAATGTTTGTTTCCCGAAACGTATCTTGGTAGATTGGTGTCAAAGTGATGCACTCCTATTGGTTACACGAATTGCACTTACCTCATAGTTTGCTAGACTTGACTTATGCAATTGGTCATTCTATTCACTAAGTTTAGCCATTTTACTCGATTGCCCTACTGATTTGTTTCATCAAATCACTGGCCTGTTTAATAATACTGGCTGACGAGTTTGATTGGGAAAAATTCTAGTGTCTTCTACCAATGATAACTCAGTTGGGCTTAAGTCCTCGCAAAAAACATTACAAGTCTTTGTCTACTGAGGCGGAACTAAATCCTAATTATGTCGTGTTACAAAAATAATTACTTTCCTTAAGGCTAAAAGAATAAAATTGGTCTTAAACGAAGCCAAAGTTGCTGCCTTTTGACTTATTGCATTTTAAGGAAGATGTTATGGTGTGTGTGTGTGTGTGTGTGTGTGTGTGTGGGTTCACAGAGAGGACATGTATCTATTATAGTTAGAGATGACAGCTTTCTCTGACTCATCACCTCTTTCTGTGCTTGATGCGCCCATAAGAGAGGGGAGGA